CGAGCCTATGGTTACAGCTGCTCGCGGTTTCGGCGCTACAACACTTTACAAGGATCTGAGCAAAGGGTAAGGATGTAAATGAAGACAAAGACAGCAGCTCATTCTTGCAAGGAGAACCGGTTTATTTTAACAAGAGTGGAGCCTTATATACCAGTGGCAGGCATGGTGGAAAACCACCAAGATCAGAAGCCTACTTCCCAGGGGTGGGCCAAAAACAGAATTAGCATTTAGACAATAAGGATGGACAGAAAACAGGAACTTGCATGCAGGCCTTACTGGGAGGAAGGAACAAGAAGTGTTTTGCTGGAAGCTCCTAAGTTACCAGCGGGTCAACAGACCCCCCGTGGGGGAAGGGCACAATGCCCGCTTGCCCCTCATCGTGATGGTCAAGGGCTCACCTTCTCAAATCGTAAGAAAGCCTCCAGCTAAATGCCTGCTTCTGTAAGTTACACTGGTCATGATGGTGTCTCTTCACAGCAATAGGAAAGCAATTAAGACATCAAGGAAAGCAAGACTAGTAGACATTAACTTGCCCTGGGCCAGGGGCAACTTGGTCAGACCCATGTTGTGCTTTTCCGCATTCGCTGCTCCCCCCAGGCCCTTTGGAGGGTTGAGGGCATTCTGGGAAGAGTGGGCCTATGAAATGGCTTGAGCAGTGATGTGGGAAGTTTGCTGGGAAGTGGGGAAGCAGGCAGCAGGGGACACGGCACAGCACTGTGAGGTCTGCCAGGGAGCCTGGAGGTCCCGGAGAGTTTCTTGTTTGGTTTTCCAGCGCCGAGGATCACACCCAGGGCTTTACACAGGTGGGCAAGCACTCTGCCACCGAATCTTGCTTTCTTTTCTTTTCCCCCTTTTTGACTCCGGGGCTCACCATACAGCTTGTGCTGGTTCGCTTTTGTTGTTGTTGTGATGCCGCACAAGTAATTGAGAAAGTGCTTCTATCAAAGTGACCTATAAGCATGTTTGCGGGACATACTCCTGACTCATGATTGATGGTGGGGGCGGGCCTAGTCCATCCGGAGCAGTGCTCCCCGGGCAGGAAGTAAGAAAGCTAAGCAGGCCATATGAACATCGTCTCCATGGTCTCTGCTTCAGTTCTGCCTCCAGGTTCCTGCCCTGGCTTCCCTGATGATGGACTGTGACCTACAAACTTAAAAAAAACCCTTGTCTCCCCAAGTTGCTTGTGGCCAGTGTTATCACAGGAACAGACTACAATACTGGCCTTGAACTTGCTGTGTAGCCCAGGCTAACCTAGGAATTCTGGGCTTATATGAGCAGCAAGAATTCTTATTTTGGAGTAGAGAGTGTCATTTTTGCTCACCTTCTCCATTCAAAGGTTCTGCGTATCTGATATCTGCATTGCCTCTCTGTGACTCTACCCTGTGTGTGCAAGCATGCATGCATGCATGTGTGCACGCACGGATGTCTATACACTCCTGGAAGGAAGGTGGCTTGACCCTGGCTTCCAGCTAGAGTGTGTGGACTCGCATAAAGGCTTGCCTGCTTTGAAGAGCTTGAGCCACCTAGGGAGGGACAGAGGTGGGCTACTTACTCACCAGAGTCCTGACTGAGTTCTGCTTCCCACTCAGCTGAGTCCTTGGGCTCATGGCTTTACATCTCTGTATTTTAAAGTTGTCCCTCCCACATGGCCTGTGGGAGGCCTCTGCCTTTTGAGAGATTCTTGTAGTCATTGATCTTGGCTGGCAAATGTGCCTATCGGCCTTCCACCTCTGTGACGAAACACCTGAGAAAAGTCAACATAGAAGAAGGAAGGTTTATCTTGGATGTAGTTCAAGGTTTCAGTTATGGTAAATAAATTGAAACTCAGAAAGGTTGGGTGACTTGCTCGGTAGGTGACTTACTCAATGGCATTCAGAATAGGAAGGCAAAAAGCCGGCCTTGGGGATTATCTTGTTTTTAAATTTGGATTCCTTCAATGAAAATAGAGGAAGGAGCCTGTAGGGTATCCTTGGGGATGAATGACTTAACATAGACTTTATTCAGAGAAGCAATGTTGAAGAATGTGTAGGTGAGGCTAGTTAGTACAACTCAGTGTGGACTCCTCTCCTGACTCTGTCATATACGATGACCCCAATAAACTATTTTACCTTTCTACAGTTTTCACCACTGACAATGGCTACCACAATCGTGTCTACACCACAGAAGGCAGACTATAGAGGACTGGATGAATTCACATATGTAGCACAGTTAGGGGAGGCTTCAAGTGTAGCAGGCAGGCACTGCATTGTCTTGGCTGAGACTTGTTACGGTCCAATTTTGGAATAAGAACTTGTCTTCATCTGGGTATTATGGTGTACACCTTTAATCCTAGCACTCGAGAGACAGAGGCAGGCAGATCTCTTCGATGTCAAGGCTAGCCTGCTCTACAGAGTGAGTTCCAGGACAGCCAGGGCTATGTAGAGAGGCCCCCATCTCAAAACAAAAACTCACCTCTAAATGCAGTTATTGATTCAGTCCTCACCATAGCCAGGAAGCACAGTTCGGGTCTCATCACACAGATTAAAGAAAAAGCTTATCAGATGCTTTGGTGGCTCCCTGTGGTCAGCCAGGTAGCCAGCCATCCGTCCACCCCGGGCTGTTGAGGCACTCTGTGTTGTTGTACTAACTTGTGGCGCTTCACTGAACTAGAAAGACCCGGTCTCTTCCTGCCTCCATGACTGGGACTGGAACCCAGGTCTGTCTCCTTTCCTTTTCACGTTTTTCTTCATCTCTCGCTCTGAATAATTTCATTTATTAACTGTTCAGATTTCAGTTTTCACATTTTAACTGCCACTACGGTATTTTGGTTTCTCCACTTTCTTTATTGAATGGAAGTACATGACTTATAGGAGTCAGAGATGAGCCTGGGAATGTAGCTCGATTGGTCGAGTGCTTGCCTAACATCTGTGAAGCCCTGGTTTGCTCCCAAGAACCGTATAACAGCATGTGTGGTGATGCACTCTTGGCCGTCTTGCCACGGAGCAGGAGGATTAGAAGTTCAAGGTCATCCTTGTCTACATAGACAGCCTTTGCTGTCTAAGACCTCACTTGAAACGAAACGAAAACCAAGAAACTGAAAGGTCTCTCTCTTTACCAGCTCTCTGTGATCTTGGGGAGGAGTCAGACAAGGATGTAAGAGCTGGTACCCAAGATGTTAAATAGAAGGCTCCCGTGCACCTCTGGTCTCCATAATGGAAGCTGGAGTATCTATCGAGTGGTAGAGGAAGAAATGGCTTCTTTTACCTCTAAACCAGAATGTTCAGTCTTGTCACCTCTTGGGGCAAGGGTCTCACCGTCCTGGAGTTGAGCGGCTGGAGATGCTGCCTAGTCGCAAAGGCTGTACCCCAGTTTTCCCTGGAGGCCTTAGGAACAGCACTCCCAACTAAGTGAGACTTCCTCCATAGGTCAAGGCTGGAGGGCAGAGGCCAGGACAGTTGAGGTTCTACTCTGTAAGCTTTTCGAGTTCTTGGTTAGGCCCACCTGTGGAGGGAGAAGGCATCAGAAGGCCTGGATGTGAACCTGTTGCTTCTGACCAATTGGGAAGGTGTTGTGCTTTCTTTTGGGCAGTCATTCATGTCACCGAGAAAAGTGGGGGACCCGCAAGAGCCTGTATGTCCATCTCCACCCCACATTCCCATACAAGCTCAGAAATAGACATAGCTCTCTGAATCGCTGGGGAAATCTATCCTGACTCGGGGTGAGTTTTCTTTGCTTCCCTACCTAGAAGAAAATGTCTCTTTGCTCTGATGAGTCTGTGACATGGAAGCGTAGGTGTTGAGCTCCCTCAGGGGATCTGCTCTCCCATGGGCCGCCTAGCTTTTGCCTCCTGGGCCACTGTGCACACTGATGTACGTAAAGATGCTGTAGAGCACTCCCCTGAGCGTAACAGCCATCCTCCTCTTCAGCAACCCGGGACAACTCACAGGGGCCCTACACGATCAGCTCTGTTGCTTGCTGACATCGCCCATAGACCGAGGGGGAAGAGGGTGTCTTTGGACCCCCTACTGAGGTTCTGGCTGCTCCCCATCTTATACCTCCTGGTCAGTTGTATATGATTCTGTCATGATTGCCTGTGACTCCCTGGTCCAGGGAGGTGCTAAAGCGTATAATCTGCAGAAAGTTAACCGAAGGAGAGATGGCATCTTTACAGCTATGGGGAGGTGGTCACCATACTGAGATGAGCCGTATCATAGTTGTGACTGCTTTGAGGTCACAGTGCTCTGTAAGTAAGCCCAACAAATTCACTGGTTCTCCAAGTTAGACATTGGTACACCCATATACTTTTGTAGCTGATCCTTTATAAAGTTTGACATTTATCCCCCCAGGGAAAGAAGTCCCACAGCAGGTATTGGAGTTGGCTGGGTTTTATTTGCAGAATCCTGACAATAGACATGGTGGCTGGCTGGCTTTTAATTAGCCTAGTTAAATCTTCAATGATGGTGAGGCCGTAGTTAGTTCCACTTACGCGCGCGTGGTGGCAGGACTCTGTCTTTCCCTCTTGGCTGCTTTACAACGGAGCCAGGCTCCTGAGAACTCTGCTCACTCAACAGTCCTCCTTGCCCGAAAATGGCCCGCTCAAAGATGCGCATCGGGTGGTAACCTCCCCACATGTTTTCTCCATAAAGTGAAAAAGATGAGACGGGACGGGAGCGGCCCCACTTGAGTTCAGAGCTGCAGTGTCTCAGAGCCGTCTGGAGCAAACTGCTAGTTCCTTGTCCCCTGGCCTATTCAGGTCTCTGCATGTTTTGATGCTCTCTTTAGCTTTTCCCCAGGCCCGGACACGGCTTTCTCAATAGACAGGACTGTTGCCATTAGCTGAATGCCTCGCCTGGACAATGCACTGAATGTCAATGGCTCTGGCGGCTCTGGAGTGTGCTAGCTCCGCAGTGCCAGCAGGACAGTGACTGTGGTACCCACCCTAGCATGGGTCCAGCGGTTGCCTCTAACCCTGCAGCAGGCTCTGCCCAGATTCCTGAAGTTGCCTGTGTGCTTTTTTGCAGATCTACACCGATTGGGCCAATCATTACCTCGCCAAATCTGGACACAAACGCCTCATCAAGGACCTCCAGCAAGATGTGACCGATGGCGTGCTCCTGGCCCAGATCATCCAGGTTGTAGGTAAGTTCATATTTCCCTTTGCGGGCTGGTGGGTTACAGCAGAGCCAGTCCAGAAAGGTCCAGAGGGCTGAGGAAATGGGAACCCTGACATGTCTGCCCCGCATGTTGACCATTCCCTTGATTTTCTTTCCATTCTGATTGTGTGGAACCCAGCTTGCTGTTTCTGTTAAAACTCAGCAGGGCTGGGAGTATAGCTCGCTTGGTAGAATGCTCAAATTGGCATGCAAGCCCCAGGTTCCATCCCTAGCACTGCATAAACCCAGTGTGGTGATATATGCCAGTATGCCAGTCTGGTGATCTATCACATAGAGGCGGGGTCAGACTTTACAGGCCGATTCTTGGTTACATAGTAAATTTGAGACCAACCGGTGCTTTCCAAAGAAGAAAAAACATACGGGATGGCCTTGATTTTCACAGGGGAAGCAACGCCCAGGGTCGGAGGGGGAAGCTGGGCGTGTGAAGGGGGCACTCTACCTGCCTTTTGCCTTGTGTCTGATTCTCTTTCTTCAACTCACACGTTCCTTTTTGGAAAACGTTGGGCACACTTCAAAAAGCAAAAGAAAATACAGGGCTGTTTAGTCCTGCCAACCTTAACTGGGGCTGAGAAACCAAAGACTAAAGCTCAAGAGATGGTTGGTGGTCTCTGGTTTTAATAGCAGGGCAACGGAGGTTGAGCCATGGGTTGGATGTTCTTGGACCTGAGCTGGGAGGGGCGGGCATATCAGTGAGTGGGTCTGCAGCCCTGCCTGAGTCAGAGATGTGGCAGTCCGTTAGGAAGCTTTATCTGGTTAACGGTCACCATCATCAGCTGTGGCAAGCCACTCGTGCCGGAGAAGACGGTACACGGAGAGGATGGAGCGCCAGTGCCTCTGGCTATTAGGAAAAAGCTGTTTTCCCTTCAGCTGTAGGAAGTGAGTGGGCTTCGGGGTTGCAGCTGAGCTAAAGTTCTGCAGGGAGACCCATGGAAACACAGGCAGGGGGCCTTGGCTGAAAGTGGGGGCTACCGCTGACAGAGAAAGAGGGTCCCCTCTGTCCCTAGCATTAGTTTCTGAGATTGGCTACTCCCCCTCCCCAAAGTCGCTGGACTACTTTTTCTCTTACTGTTTATAGCCAATCCTCAACAAAGGCAGCCATTAAAACAACTTGCATTAGCTGGAGGCGATGGATCACACCTTTAATCCCAGTGTTCTGGAGGCAGAGGCAGGCAGACCTGTGAGCTTGCGTTTGGTCTACAAGAGTGAGTTCCAGGACACCCAGGGCTACACAGAGAAACCCTGTCTTGGAAAAAAAAAAACAATCAATCAAACAGACAAACAAAAATCCGTATCTTGATGTCTCACAGCTTCCAGGCATCACCTAGGCCAGGCTGCCGGTCACAGTACGTTCAGGGCCACACCCTCACACAGGGACTCGCTGGAGAAGGGTTTGTTTTCATGCTTACTTGGATTACTGTGGGAACTCATTTCCTTGGGACTGGAGAACTCTGGGTCCTGGCTTCTTGCTGACTACCAGCTGGGGATCACGGTCACCTCCTAACAGTGTTCTTTAACTTCCTGCCACACCGGAATCTCACTCCTCCCGAGTCGGCAAGGGAGCCAGTCTCTGGAGCAATTGTCCCTGCGGGATGGACTGTCTTCCATTATGTTGGAGTTACAGGTCCTGCTCACACTCAGGGAGAGGGCTGTACCAAGTGTAGATACCACTGCATTGCATCTCGGGAGGACACCTGAACTTGGTTGCAATCCCTCCTCTTCCTCCTGCTCTCCGTTATTACACACACACACTCTTCACTTTTTTTTTTTTTTTTTTTTTTTGGTTTTTCGAGACAGGGTTTCTCTGTGTTGTTTTGGAGACTGTCCTGGAACCCACTCTGTAGACCAGGGTGGTCTCGAACTCACAGAGATCCGCCTGCCTCTGCCTCCCGAGTGTTGGGATTAAAGGCGTGCGTCACCAACGCCCGGCCACACACACATTCTTTAGGACAACTTTTCTCATATAGACTCCTCCGTCTCTAGGAAGTAGGTAATAGATTTCCCATTTTGCTGATGGGGGAATGGAGGCTCCGTTGGGCTGAGGCGCCTGTGGGGAGACTGTTTCCCTGCTACAGCCACTGCCCTCACTTTAGTTCCAGGACCATTTATTGAGCACCTCAAAGCCTCCCTGGGGATGGAGATGGAAGTCCGGGGCTCGCGTCATTGGGAGCTCTGGTACCTCCTGGTCTGCATCTTTGTTGGTTACCTGTATCTGACCTGGGGTTTGAGGTCAGCTGCCACCTGGCCTCCTTCAGTATATCTAGGGGTGGTGATGCTGTGTGATTCTGCTGGAGACAGAACAATACGGGGGCGGGGGTCTCTTTCTCTGCCTTAGTCCTTAGCTCACAGCTGTGGGACCTCACTCTACTGCTGCTGCCTCTGTTCCTGCCCCCCTCCCTGTTGTTTTGGTGTATACGCTTGTCAGGATTGGGAGTGTGTGTGCGCATGGGTACACTTGTCAGCATCGGGAGTGTAAGCGTGTGTGTGGGGTAGGTATACATGTGTATGTACATGCGCATTTGTGGAGGCCAGAGGTCGATGCAGGGTACCTTACTTAATCACTTTCCACCTTTATTTACTCTCCTTGATTTATTTTATTAGTTTTATGGTGTGTGTGTGCATTTGTATATTTAGAAGAGGGCACTGGAGTTACAAGCAGTTATAAGTCAGCTGACAGGATTCTGGGACCCAAAGTCAGGTCTTCTGTAAGAGCAGCAAGCACTCTTAACCACGGAGACGTCCCTCTTGCCCTTTCCACCTCTGGTGTGTGCTGTTGTGGGGTTTTTGTTTATTTGTTGTTGTTTTGTTGTTGAGACAGGGTCATTAATTCAGCTAGACCGGCTGGCCGATGAACTTCGGGTACCCATCTTTCCCCGCCTCTCCAGCACAGGGTGTAGGTATACATCCACTATGTCTAGCTTTTTACGTGGGTTCTGGGGGTCTGAACTCTGGTTCTCATGTTTGCCCAGCAAGTACTTCACTGACTCAACCATCTTCCTAGCTGTTTCTCTGACTTGAAAGTGGGTCAGCCACCTTTGTTTTCTGTTCTTTATGGATGTTTCATGAAACGCAAGTTAGAGATCAAATAAGAAATAAGTGAAATTGATGTGCTCTGGGATAGCACTCAGTAGCAGCTGTCTAGAACAGTAGGTGAAGGAAAGATGATGTTGAGTGTCGGAGTCAATTAGTCATGCCTACCACAGGAACAGTAGGTGAAGGAAAGATGATGTTGAGTGTCGGAGTCGATTAGTCATGCCTACCACAGGCTGAAAACAAGTAGGATGCCTACTGTCAGTTCGCTAAAAACATGAAGGTGAGCATTCAGTTTTATCATTGCTCAGGAGCATTGGATGCCTCCCCGAGTCTAGTCAGAGAAATGGCTCATTTGGAACTAAACTGTTGACCTGTGACTCCGGAGGCTCAGGTTAGTACCGACACAGTTTCTCATATCCAAAGACTTGGGTTCACATGTGTTTTGGATTTCAGATTTTTGGACTTTGATATATTTCTGCGTACATGTGATATGTCGGGAATGTTTTATGTCTAAGCAAGACATCTTAGGTTTCACAAGTGCTTTCTATACATAGCTTGAAGATGGCTTTATTCAGTGTTTTAGATAATTTTGCATGTGAAACAAAAGGTTAATGGCGTGGCGCTTTCTACATGAAGCATCAGGTTGGTGCTTGAAAAGTTCCAGCTTCTGGAGCAGTTTGGATCTCAGGTTCTCAAATGAAGGATGCTCGCCATGTAACAGCAGCCTTTGGGGCAGCTCAGGCTCCGGAAGACGACATCTCTAGGTGTGGGGCTTCCCGAGGAAGGCCAGGCACACTGCTGTTTCTCTGACTGCTCCATGCCGGGGTTCACGTCCGTGCCCTGCAAATGCACAGAGGTCCACGAGAAGGAACTGGGAAGGCAGCACATTTCACCAGTGTCAGCAACTCTTAGAGCACAGGTGGTCTCGCGCTTTCCTGTTGCTATGATAAACACTTGGCGAAGGCTACTGAAAGGAGAAGCAGGTTATTTTGGCTTACAGTTGCAGAAAGATACAGTCCATCATGTCAAGGTGGGTGTGGTGGCAGGAGCAGGAGGCTGGCTGCTCACACTGCATCCATATTTGGCAAGAAAAGGAGGACAGAAATCAGTCTTAGACTAAAGCTCAAGTCCCTCCCCCCAGGATCCCACTTCCTCCTACCAAGCTCCACCTCCTAAGAGTTCTGCAACCTTCCCTAACAATGCACCAGCTGGGGACCAAGTGGTCAAACACATGAGCCTGTGGGAAACTTTCTATGTTTTGTGTGGTGAGACAGAGTCTTACTATGTAGTGCTGTCTGACCTGGAACTCATTGTAGACCAGGCTGGCCTGAAACTCACTGAGATTCCCCCCCTGCCTCTGCTTCCAGGGCGCTAGAATTAAAAGTATGCTACCACAGGCTAGCATTCCATTTGTAAACTACACCATTATCCAATGGTGGCTCTCCCGATGGGAGAGGAGCAACACTTTCTGATCTTGGTGTGGACTGTCCAGTATTCCTCCTCTTGAATTCTGAACTGAGTGTTCCCCCTTATATATTCATTGTGAGAAAATAGAGTGTATTTGTATGTGGACACCAATGTGCAGATGTATATCCACGGTGGTTTTCCAGAACTAGAGTCCCACTGGCCACACTTGTAATGTACTGGACTTCCGTGGCTACCCTTGGGCTGGGGTAATCCTACTCATGCTCTGGAGTCCAGCCACAAGAGGGACTGCCGTCATTCCACCCACTGTGGTCTCGGGCCTTGTCCTCCCTAGATCTGGGGCTGGCACATTGCAAGGTTCAGGAAAAGCTGAGAGGAAGGGGTGGTGAGAGGCTGTCCAGAGCCTCTCTTACCCTGCTCATGAAGGCTTTGTCCTTGAGGTTAAATCATCCCACACCAGCCCACCTCCACACAGAGCCACAGTGGAAATTAAACATCTGCCTCCGGATT